GATAAAATACCTAGAATATTCAACTCTCTGGAAGATTGTAGTAAGCTTATTTTTGTTTGTAGTTGAAAAATAAGTGCGTATTCCGTTTTTTTTAATTTATATGAAATCTTTTACAGCTTCAGCTTCAATTTTAACGAATTCTGGTCTAGAATCGTTTTTTGTTGATTGTAGTTTTAAAATTTTTTTTAGTTGAAAAATAAGTGTGTAATGAGTTTTTTAAAAATTTATATGAAGTTCTTTACAGCTACCGCTTAAATGTTAATGAATCCTTGCCTAGAATCGTTTGTAGTTGATTGTAGTCGTAAATTTTTTTTGTTTAAAAATAAGTGCGTAATGGGTTTTATTTAGTTTATAAGCGGCCCCATGCGCAGACAGAAATACACAGTAAACTCATCCCTCTTTGTAGCCACAGATAAAAGCAGACTGTTCTAATAGTTCGCGGAAAAAGTAAACAGAATTATTCTTATAAATCCCTTATTTTTATTATACATATATTACAAAGCGTGAATGAGATTTATAGTACATCAGAACTTATACTTATTAGGTACATAAAAACATATTACAAACTGACTGGTGTCATGAGTTGAGGGAAACATGGTGTTACTCACAATATATCTTTGTATACAATATTTGAGGTTAAAATATATTCAGAATTAACTTTTTGATTAAATATTTCTTTAACAGAAACAATAATATATGAGCTAAGGGAGCGGTGCGAGAGAGACAATTGTCAGTTTATCGAACCTTTAATTATTGAATTATGTGTGCGCCCACCACTGTCGTATACGGCGTATGCGATGCTACAGTCACAATAGTGCTTCAGTACAAAATACCTTTAGTGGGACTTAACATTGGTAAATTAAAACCAAAAATAAAATTACAAATTTCTTGACTTCAGAGGTGTTATGACCATTAATATTACCTAATAACCACCCAGGGAACCTCAGACTTTTCAAATGACACCTCATTAGTGGAATTGCTTACATAGAAAAGTAGAAAAAGGGAGGCTAACAAAAAAACACTTTAGAGAAATAATATATAAGATTATGACCATTAATATTACCTAATAACCACTCAGGGGACCTCTGACTTTTCAAATGACACCTCACTAGTGGAATTGCTTACATAGAAAAGTAGAAAAAGGGAGACTAACACACAAAAAAACACCTTAGAGAAATATAACATAAGATATGAAGTTTTTTACAGCTGCAGTTTCAATTTTAATGAATTCTGGTCTAGAATCGTGTGTAGTTGATTGTAGCTTTAAATTTTTGTTGTTGTTTGTTTTTGTGTTTTTTTTTTTAATTTATATGAAGTTTTTCACAGCTAAAGCTTAAATTTTATTGAATTCTGGTCTAGAATTGTTTGCAGTTGATTGTAGTTTAAACTTTTTTTTTAGTTGAATAATAAGTTCTTATTGCGTTTTTTTTAATTTATATGAAGTTTTTCACAGCTAAAGCTTAAATTTTATTGAATTCTGGTCTAGAATTGTTTGCAGTTGATTGTAGTTTAAACTTTTTTTTTAGTTGAATAATAAGTTCTTATTGCGTTTTTTTTAATTTATATGAAGTTTTTTACAGCTACAGCTTAAATTTTAATAAATTCTGGTCTAGAATCGTTTGTAGTTGATTACAGTTTTATTTTTGTTTTAGTTGATAAATATGTGCGTAATGCGTTTTTTTTAAATTTATATAAAGTTTTTTACAGCTACAGCTTAAATTTTAAAGAATTGTGGTCTACAATCGTTTGTAGTTGATTGTAGTCTTAATTTTTTTTGTTGAAAAATAAGGCACTTCGCACATTAAGCTCCTAATCATAGTAGTGTAATCGTTTCGGCATACTAAAGTATAAAACTTTTATGCCGAGCCCATGTATTTCAATGAAGCTCTGTAGATTACGATTCAAAATCATGTTTGCGCCTAATCATAAAAGCTTCATGAATCGAAGCGCCCAACATTGTAAAGGCCGGTCCACATAGAACTTTCGTGTTAGCTTTGGCGTTGGCGTTGGTTTGACAGAACGCACGTTAAAAGTATGCTTGCTACAATGAGCGCTTGGCAGCGAATGCTTGGGCCACTACATTAATATACTAACGACAGATAAATTAATATTTCATATCAATAATTGCATTAAAAACGATATTTCTTGCCCGCACTTGATTAAAAAGGAAAATATTTCACATAATTTTATTTATTTGCAACAGCTGACGAGCGACGCACGCGAAAAGATGAGAGTTGGCCATCTTTTTGCTTTGTGTTGGCGTGAGCGTTGTCGAATTTTGGCTATGTGGACGGCTGCATTTGAATTCATGTATTCATAGTCAGCTGTTGAAGCGACGCCAACGCCAACGCAACGCCAAAGTTCTATGTGGACGGGCCTTAAGGCGCTTGCAGTTTTGAAATCGTCAATTGTTTACTTTTTTGTGCTGGAAATAAAATTTATTTGTCAGTTCAATAGAAAATAATTGGAAATGAATGATTTCGTGCTAAAATTCGTGCAAATTGCATTAAACCACAAGCGTTTACGCAATATTTCGGAGCAGAAATATTTGCGGAAGTGCGTGAGGCGAAAGAACGGCCAAAAAATGTGTTATGTGTAGAAATTGTTTATTAGCTGGTGACATATGCAGGGCGTGCAAGTGTGCAGAAGTCGAGTCGTCATGAATTCGTTTCGGTATGATGTGCCTAAGTGCATAATGCGTTCTTCAAAAAATCTATATGAAGTTTTTTACGGCTACAGCTTCAACTTTAATGAATTCTGGTTTGGAATCGTTTGTAGTTGATTGTAGTAAAATTATTTTTTTTTAGTTGAAAAATAAGTCCGTAATGCGTTTTTTTAAATTTATATGTAGTTTTTTTCAGCTAAAATTTTAAACTGCAATCAACTACAAACGATTCTAAACCAGAATTCATTAAAATTGAAGCTAATAATAATAATAATAGATTGGCGCTTACACATATGTTAGTGTTACAGCGGCCGTCCCTCGGCAGGCAATGGCAAACCTCCGAGTGTATTTCTGCCATGAAGAACAACTTCTCATAAAAATACAATCGCCGTTCGGAGTCGGCTTAAAACTGTAGGTCCCTCCGCTTTGTGTGACAACATCCAAGGCGCACGCCACAAATCGAAGGAGAAGCTCGGCCAAACACTAACATATGTGTAAGCGCCAATCTAGTGTTATTATTATTATAAATTTGGATACCTTTTCCCATAAGCATTCGTAAGTTGAAGGAATTTTTATTTTTATTTTATTTATGTACGAGCTATTATAAATAACGTTTTTAACAGTTGGCTGCTCATCCTCCAAGCAAGACATTTTCCTTTATTCTTGTCACTTTGAAAAATAAATTTTTTAGCTACATAAACGTGCATTTTATAACACCAAGTAGTTTGCAAATTTTAAAAAGCAACCTGAGCAACCCTTCTCTTAGCATTCAAAGGAAATTGACAACCATGCCGATGACTAATTTTAAACAATAACTTGACTGTACTAAAAATAACTTATAACTTCTAAATTTCAAGTTATATGTCGCTAAGCGAGAATTCAAACAAGCCGGAAATAGAAATTTCTAAATTTCATTGATAGCTCCCAATCCACCAGTTTGATTGAAAAACATTGTAACATTGTAACAATTTACTGAACTAAATGTAGCAGGTCAAAATTATTTTAAATTAGTATTATTTTGATAGACCAGGAAACATTTTTCGCATGTATTATTTATAGGAATCTCATCGCAGTAATAAACATTGAACATGCGGAAGCTTTGGCCCGTAGTTTTAGTCAGTATTTTCCCATTCTAAGAAACAGATCTGGGAATCAATTTTGAGTAATTCAGCGGTCTTAAATTTCAAAATATTGAAGTTTCAAGCATTTCTGAAATTTACCGTTATATGAAAAGCGGCCGAAATTTTAGTCCGATTTCAATAATTTTCAACTTTTTGCTTTTATTTGGCAAGCCCAATAACCATACCGAGTTTGGTACAAATTGGTAGAACGGTTAGCGAGATACATATATGTGATCATAAGTGGGCGGTGCCACGCCCATTTTCCAAAATTTTATCATAAACATATTTCTTGGTAAAGAATGGTTTCAAGTATCAATTTTGAATAAATTAGCTTTAATATTTACTGATTCATCATATATCTCCAAATTACCGTTATATGGGATGTGGGCGTGGTTATTGTCCGATTTAAAAAATTTTCGGCCATTTAATATGCTGTAGCAAGGCTAACAACTGTGCCAAGTGTGGAAGAAATTGGTGCAGCGGTTACCAAGATATACACATGAAACCATAAGTGGGCGTGGCTACGTCCATTTTCCAAAAATTTATAATATTCCTATTTTTCGTCTAAAAGTAATTGTAAATATAAATTTTGAAAGAACAATCTTTAGTAGTTACTAAAATATCGTAGTTTTCGTATTTCTGAAAATTACCGTTATATGGGAGGTAGGCGTGGTTATTGTCCGATTTTGCCCATTTTCAATACCATCCGTCCTACGCCCGAAAGAAGTTCACGTACAAAGATTCGTTAAGACATCTCAATTTAATTTTTACTCGAGTTATCGTGTGCGGACGGACAGACAGTCACCGCTCTTTTCATTCTGATCGCTTATGTATACATTTGTCTATATCTATCTCGATTCGTTTTACCTGTTAGAAACAACCGTTATGTGATTATAGTTATAATACCCTTGTGCACAAGTGCGCTCGGGTATAAAAACCATTTGTTATTTTGAAAAAGGATTGACCATATACATTTATTTGGAATTTATTTATAAGAATAAAAACAGATCGAGTTGCGAGACAAAATATGTAAATATGAATGTATACGGTAAACGCTCGATGAGGCGCGTCTCTTTTTGTGCTGTGTGCTATTATCTTCTTTTGTTTCAAGTCAAAAACATGATATTTATGTGAGCTTCATGTATATAAAACTGTAGTTCTAATGACTTATTAATTTAGACCTTTTCGTTATATTGTGTGTTTTGTCTTTTCAGAACCGCCGGGCGTCTTTCAGAAAATATTTATACTTTTACTGCAGAAGCAACAGATAACAATGCACGTTTCCGTTGTGAAGCTAGCAATGTGATGTCACAAACTCCCCTTAAAACAGAAATTGATATAACAGTACTATGTAAGTGAAAGCGTAGAATAAGTATGTATGTTTAACCATATATCTATATATCTACAGCCGTGGTATGAAGTGTGTTTCCGTACATTCCAGATTAAGAGCCAAGTCTTAGTTTAAAATATTAAACGGCATTAATGTTAGTTATGTGATTTAATCAAAGAATATTTATTTTTGTTTAGTTTTCAGACCGATATTTTAGGTCCAATTGTACTTTTTTCTGTCCTTTTTAACCTTGAAAGTACTATACTGTTAAAAAGTTTTTTTTAATATCTCATATTAAGAGTTTCCTATCTTAGTGAGTGCGCAAGTACTGAGTAAGTATCGTGACAAGTACTGAGTAAGTATCGCGAATACCAGAAAGTATCGACGTATTAAAGCTCAGTTGGGCGTATTCAGTAAGGTGGTGTTAGGTTGTGCCTTAATTTTATAGTGTAATTTTTTACAGGGACCGAGAACAAAAAGGTATAATCGAAACTAAATATCTTTATCGTAGTTTTGTTCCCAAGAACGCTTAAAAATCCAAACCAAAATAAGAATAACTTTCGGGAACGTTTTCACAAGAACGAAAGCGAAAAAAAACTGTCGAGAACATTATCAACGTGAACTATATAACAACAAAAACTTGTGAAACGTTCCCAAAGAGAACAAGATGCGAACAATACTTAGCGGGAGCATCGAAGAGAACAAAATGAAAACAAGAGTCTCCGGAACGTTCTGAAAAAGTTGAAATCGGGAACAAAACTCAAGGGAACTTTCTCTCGAGGAACCATTTGGAAACTATAGTCTAAGATACTTTCTAACAGAGAACAAAACGGAAAAATCAGAAAGAGAATGTGCATGTAACACAAACATCCGCAATCATACGGTTGCCAGACGTACTGATTTTATCAGTACTGTACTGATGTTTCAACTCTTGTACTGATTTTATTCATTTCTTCAATCAGTACGCTAATGTCCTGATTTTTCAAAATGTGTATTGATTTGTACTGAATTTTCAATTCAAACAAAATATTTTAGGATTTTGTTAAGGTTTTTACATAACGTTGGAACTTCCTTAAATTGTACTGTAAAAAGTAAGAAAAAAATTATTTAATTATAGTTGACATGTTATATATATCTAGGCATGTCAAACCCAAGAAATTAATACAACAAAAATAGCAATAGTTTTATGGGCATATCGCTGGGTCGTTACGTACCAGTTGCGATAATATGACAGAGCTTAAATTATATAAAATGAAGGCTGACTTTTTTTGTCGAGTGTTGTTAGTTATCTCGAAAATAACTTTCAGTTTAATAACAGTAAATTTGAATATTCGAATGGCTTTGGCCTATAACTTAAGCTGCCTTTAGATGAGACGATTTTTTGGGAGGCGCTAATCGCCTGCAAATGTTGACTTCCTGTCTACTTTGAGGCAAGCGATTTTTGAATCACCATTTACACGGGCGATTTTTCTTGAGCAATGTTGAATCGCCTAAAAATTCGCCTCATGTAAATTCAGCTTTAAAATTCTTTCTTCTCAATTTTCTGACATTGTAAAAGTGTTTTGCATACAAGACATAGAGTTAGATACTGTTTTTAGCACATTCTTAGACTTTCCATGAGGAAATACGGAGAAAATCCTTAAAAAGTGGTACTTTTAAACAGTTTTAGCTTTTTTTTCAATACCACACTCAAACGAAGCAAGTGAGAGGATCTTATGTATAAGGTTTGCTTCCTTGCGCAAAGGGAGAAACCGGTTTCTAATTAAAATTTTTGAAACTGAACTTCAAACTAAAAGTAACTTTAAAATTAAATATATAGAATTCTTTGACTATTTAAACACTGAAAATGGAAATGATCTCATTATTGCTATTCAAAAATGTCGTAAATATAAAATAATCTATTGGGTCCTGTGTACAATAGGGTGGTCCAAAAACAGTGAATTCGGAATTGCAATGCTCTCACCCCCTATATCTATATCGAAAAAAAGTATACCCCTATTTTTTATTTTGTAATTAAAAAATATTTAGAGGTCGCTAAAAGCGCTCAAAGTTTTCCATGTATTTTAATATAACAAAAAACAACTTTTCGTAGAAATGATATATAATTCTTGAAAATAAATTTTTTTCGATCGAAAAACTCTAGTTGTCTTCACGAGACTTTCAATAATCGTTTATTTAACCGTTATTTAATACTAACTATTTTTTATTGGTCCTCCCAATGCATTTTTTGGGGTTTTTGTGGGTGTTTGGCGGACCTGTAAATTATAGTTGCGATGAAAAAATGGCTAAATAAACAATTGGGTATTATTATTGGGTATCTCCTGCAGATAAACAGAGTTTTCCGATATAAAAATTTGATTTTTGAGGATTGTATACAATTTCTACGAAAAGTTGTTTTCTCCCATATAAAATACATGGGCTTTACTTTTCCCACATGCATTTTTGGACCACCTTAGTGTACAATGATGTGTACACTCATGTTAAAATGCATAACATTTTTATTTTTTATGAACTGTATTATATATACCAAAATATTGTGTACTGAAAAGTACTGATTTTTTTAGCACGAAAAAGTCTAACGTACTGATTTCCCGCATAAAAAATCGGGCAACCCTACTTGCAAGTGTGCTCGGTTCGTAGGCGAAGGAGGTGAGAAGAGAGGGGAAGAGTAAATTCGGCTCACCCCCTTCGCCTACAACCGAGCATACTTGAAATCAAGACAAATTTTTTTTTCAGAAGTGTTTATAGCCCATTAAATTTCAGCGTAATAATGTGCAAGTTTCAAGTGGATAAAAATTACCCTTGATTTTTTTAGAATTTTTTTGCCGAACGTGTTGCGGGAGCACTTAAAAAAGGAAAATTATAAGTGAAATGGTAAATATGGTACGAAAAATTTAGGTACTTAGGCGGGTTGGGTAAATAAGCGGGGATGTACTTAGGAGAAGGATTTTATTCAGATTACATCAAAATATTCACGGTGCCCAAAAATGTTGGTTACTTAAGCGGGTTTCACTGTACTCGAGAAAAACGGTTCTAAAGTTTTTAATTTAGTACATACAATCACATACACCCATAGTAAAAATGAATACATATATTTTTCTCTACTGAGAAACTGGTAATTGATACAGCTATGAAATTTTTAGACAACATAGAAGAAATAGCTGTAATTTCTATAAGCTAAATATTTTCAAATGAATACTAGTATCGATACTTTTCTAAAAAGTTCTATCACTAGCCATGGTCCTTTTACGGGAGGGTGCCTCTGCCCCGCGAGAGAAAATGTATTCAATTATGTATTCAACGATTTTCTTCATTAGTAATTAGATTTTTTTTTGTAACAGAACAGGTTTTAGCACAAATGCAAAAATTTTGCACAGAACCTGTTATTTTTAAAATTATTTTTTTTTTCTGGTAAAGTTAGATTTTTTAATTTTTTCATAAAAAAATAAAAAAAATGGAATGATTAAGGAATTTGTCAGAAACTGTAAGTGCTATCGGAAAGTGATGTGATACGGTTATGGAGAATTTTATTAGCTTTCATTTGCCGCATAATTAAGATTGTTAAATGGGTTCGTAAGATATACGTGATTAAAAGGAACCAATTTTTGCTTTAAGCGGAATAACGGTAAATTGAAAATATCTTGAAAACGTATCCATTGAAAAAAAATAACTCCATTTTTGGAATCACCGAGCAATTCTATATAGGAATTTGATAGGATAGGAGGTTGCATGGGAAACTGAACCTCAGAGCACAAATTTTTTTCTTTATAAAACTAACAAATGTGTGGATAAGACATGTGTACAAATCTTTAATCAACCAAAAAATAACAAATTAAAGCTTTAAATGCATTTTTATTGTCTTTTTTACGTTTCAAAACCAAGTTATAAGGAAATTTTTTGAGTAGGTTTAAAGTAGGTTGCGTTGAAAGTACTTTCAGTTAATTGGCGATTCATAATTCAAGTGTTTGGTAAGAACTCATCTGTGTTTAATAAAATTGTATTATATATTAAATTGTGTGAGTGCTTTATCTATATTATGAGTTATTATTAAGCAGTATTGTTCTTGTCCTACCCGTGACAAAAAAGGTAAAAGTTATTATATTTAATTACAGAAGTTGAAGTTGTGTTACGGGTTTGTTACATAATGTTAGAACTTCATTGTCAATGTTTATCACAATTGCATTTTCGTTTCAACATAGTTAGATAAGAATAATTCAACAGTCAAGCATGTCCCACCCGTGACAGCTACGGATGGTACAGTTGCCAGAGGTAGGTTTACAGGGCTGATAAACTTTAATTGTTTGTTGAGGTGGATGCAGGGGAGAAGGGCTGAAGCGCGGACTCGCCCAATACCCTTGTGGTCAGCTCATTAAGTTAAGTCACATTTTGACCAGTTTTGGTTTTTTCTTTTGTTTATTTAATGTTTATAGTTTTTGTTTATAAAAGTCTAGCACATTACGTAACCAGAACCACATAAATCCACATTTAAAACTTCGTACAAAAATTATAAATTTCAACAAATTTTAACAGTTCCATCAAAAAATTTGAATTTTTTGTTTATAATTTATAGAAAAGTTTTAGGTATACAGTTTTACAGCATGTTAAATTTAAGTAGGAAAAAGTGAAAATCTCAAGACGCTTGGAGAACGCGTTGATTTTTAATAATTTGTTTGGTTGACGGTTCTAGGCCTTTTCTTCTATATAAGGCATTATACTAAGATGAAACGTGAGTGTACTGAACCCCTACTTGGCTATTTTTTAATAACTAATCTTTAACATGGACCACATTTAAAGCTCCTTTTCATATAAAAATTCTTACGTGTCCCACCCGTGGCAAATGTTGTCCCTCCCGTGACAGAGGATTTTCGGATTTTTTTTTATAATGAAGCCATCATTTTTGTTGTAGTTTTTTCTTTGTTTGCGTTCGTGGTTCCTTGTTTTATTTAATTTTTTATTTTATTTTATTTATTTATTTGGTCTACAGAAAAATGTTTTCTTACAGACAAATGAGAATAGAACAT